CACACACACACACACACACACACACACACACACACACACACACAGATGGGTAGGGAATGGAGGAGGGTTTGAATGGTCTTGTTGAAAAACTACCATTCTCCGCTATCATGTGTTTGCAAACAACAATGTCCTTTGGGACATCCGTTAAAATTGGAACGATACAGAGAAGATTAGCATGGCCCCTGCGCAAGAATGACACGCATAAATCGAGAAATGGTCCAAATTAAAAAAAAAAAAAAAAAATCCTGCTGATTTTCCTTTGATCCTCTTCATGTGCCTTTGATGTCTTTCCGACTACACGTCAATCAGTGGTAGCTCTCCGCCCACCGAAAAAAAAAGAAGAAAATGCAAGAGACCTCCTCCTGTTTTTATTATTGCCCATCCAAATGCCTCGGCAAATGATGGCCAATTGATTGGTTTGATGATATCCTTTCAGATATCTCCTTCTCGTCCCAAAGAATGAGCCTCCTTTCCATCCTCATTCCTTTGCACTGAACCATCTCCTCCAGTTTTGTTTCACCACCTGTTCCTCCTCTTCCAATTTGTTCACTGCCCCCTTCTATTCTCCCCCTGCATGTGTGTGTCATGGGCCTCATGGCCATTTATTTGGGGTAGTGGCATTGCCATGATGGTTACCTACTCTGTCCGATGGGAAATAAAACATTATGCATCATTGCATCCCCTCCCTCCTCCATCTTTCTCTTCCCTTCCTGATCCTCATCCTCCCCCCAGGTTCTCTTCTGTGTATACTGTCATACTTCTTCCTTTTTTCTTTTTTTAAACAAAAGCTGCAGTTTTATTATATAAGCAAATTCATAAGGCCAGGAATTCTTCAACATCTCAACCCGGTTAGTGCTGGGGCCATTACCCCGGTTAGGCTTGTGCTGGAAACTGGGTCCAGTGTCCCCTTGTCTGCAATTTCTAAAAAATCCGAAGTGGGCAATCAAGCTGCAAACGGAGGTAAAGGAAGAAAGCTAAACCTGGATAATTAAAAGTTAAAACACAAACAGCAACTATAGAACTAGTTTTCTGGTGACCAACCTTCAACGTGCTGATCTCCAATCTCTGTATTCTGATTGGAATGAAGAAAGTTGCGTCGTGGTAGCGCCTTGTGCGTGGAAAAGCAACGACGAAACCCTCCCGAAGCGACCGACCTCGCTGAGCCTTTTTGGTAGGGGAGACGATGCTGAACCTGGTGAGGATAACGAAGCCGACACAAAAGCTTTCCGGTATAGAATAGCCAACGCAATTTTGTGGTCGGACGTTGCGTTCCCGATGTGGGTCATGACCAATTGCATCTCGAGAAAGGTGACCTGAGTAAATCATAAGCCCTGGACACCGGGTCCAGCGCTCATTGTCTGCAGCTTCAAACACTGGGGAATGGAGCGGAGGGAGGCGAGACCTTTGTGTATACTGTAATACTCTTCCCATACGGACGTCCTTTTCTTTTTTTATAAATAAAAACAGGGTCTTAGGGTCCTGGCTCCATATCCATTCTGGGGAGCGAAGGGATCTCCTCCTTTCATTTTTCTCCTTTTAGAGAACAACAATAAATGTGCGAGACAGAAAAAGAAGGGAAATGGTCATGTTGATGGAGCGACAAACAGACTCTGACCTACAGCTTGGCAATAAGTTTTACCATTCATTTTTCGTAAATTATGGCGCATCGGGAAAAAAATTCCGAAAATTTCACGGAAAAACTCGGAAAAGACTTTGAAAAAGAGGTTCGGACCTCCGGAGGAGCTGGTGGTTTAAACGACCACTACCTTTCCCTGGTAACGTTGAGAATGGAATGTAAAAAGTCTGTTTTTTTTTGGAGGCTTGGGGCTACTGGACCCCAATGGCTGGCGGCGCCAGCCGCAGTGGTGCTTCAGCAACGCTTGGCGTGTGCAGGGGGGAATCCACCTCGTACGGTGGTTTAAACCATGAAATTGAGTTTGGTGCCCCCGGAAAACAGCGGTGAGGTACAGCGTCTGCGATTCTTGGGACACTTCTCAGTGCATCTGGCACTTGCCTCACCAGTGTTGATTAACGCATTCTGTTTTCTGTTCTTCGTTGAGTTTTCAATTTTTTTTTCTTTCATTTTCAAATTGTGCACGAAGAAAGAGGGATTCTATCATATATCCGTCTCTTTTCTGGCCAAATGTCTCCCATGCTACACAAACTTCTAATAGCAGAGAAGCCTATGTTGCTGGCATCCACACATGCCCTATTGTGATCCTCCTATTCAATGAATCAATTCATTTGTCATGGTAGAGAATCAGAACGACGTGCACAACGTACTCGAGCTTTAAATCAATGTCCTCAAAAGCAGGGAGTATGACTTCATGTTTCTATATGAGCATTGAACACCCAAAAAAGCGAGATTAACCAATCGAAATGACGTTATTGCCAGTGGAAGCTTGGCCTTAGTGTTTAAAACCGTCTTTGATTCTAAAGTGGGTGGCGTTTTTTGTTCTCTTCTGTTCTAGGTCGTTCCTGGCACTGGGACTCTCGTCCTCAATTTCTACGAGTGCCTGCGCCACTGCTTTGCGCAAGGTTTGTGAAGAGGTTAAAGTAGTCGTCCAAGGGCCAACCGCTGTTGAGGGTTTGCTCCACATTGGTGAGGTGAGATGGTGGTTCTGGAGGTGGAAAACTTCAGAAAAGCGGAAAGAAACGAAAATGTTTTTTTTTTTTTGTTTTTTTTTTTGGGGACTCTTTCTTACCAAGCTACCAGTGGAATAACCAACGGGCCTATCTCAGTTGGTACACCCTTGGTCTGCCGAAATACAAGCCCAAGTTTGAATCCAGATGAAATCAGATGAACAGAAAAATTAGAAAATCATTCTGAGTTACTTGGGGCTGGTCGGCTTAATGCTGAGTACGGACGCCGCCCGGCCGGGCGGGGCCCGGGTGGGTGGCCCGGGCAAACCGGGCGGGCAAAAAAATAGCCCGGAAATATTTTTTATTTTTTTTTGAAGGCGGGGTCCTCCTGTGCTCGGCGAGAGGACCCCGAATCTGCAATAAAATTCTGGTTTTGGGGAGGGGACGGGTCGTCTGGGTGGGTTGGGGGGGGGGGGGGGTT